AACCAAGTATCACTGCACTAAAGATAGGGATTTAAACTTCAGGAGGCGCATAAGCAATTTAAGGGAGCAGAAATTGATAAGATTAGGGAAAGACAGTAACATTTGAGGTATCATACATATTACCCTTTCGCCTTCCCCTGCCTCCATAAATTTGTTTGTAATTTCAGATATTGTATCGCTATTCTTTCAACTAACGAGGAGGTTAGTTTATTTTCAAATGCTTTAAGAAATGGTGCACTTTAACTCACTGAGGTTCGGGAAAACTTTGACACTTTTATATTGATTGTTGGGTAGATTAGTTATGATTTTAAGAGGTCTATTTTCTGCTGAATTATTAGTTTTTGTATTGTGAAACACATCTTCGCATGCACGCAAGATAAAATTTGGAGGGTGCAGTCATACACGTAGAGCTCTGCTCAGAAATTTAGCTATGAATGGCCACTCGAATTGTTAGATTTATTTGATAACTAATTAGGTTTGCCGATACCATGTTTTGCAAACTAAGCCACGTCTCTTTCCTCCCTAGCTTCATTGTAGCTTAGCCTGCTCAAGGAGTCTAGAGAGATGTAGGAGGTACTGTCATAGAGATTTCCGAGTCGGTTAAGGCTATACTAGTGCAGTAGTCCCCTAGAGTATTAAACACTCTTAATTCAACATCACCAATTTCTCAACAGATTTATCTTGGCTTAAATTTGTGTTCTGCATTAAACCAGCAGAAGTAAATTCAGATTCTGGATAATTAATTACATTTAAATAGAAGTTGAGCAATAATTTCGAATACACGGTGGGTGAATTTCCCATTAGCCTTTTCCTTCATTAGATGTTGAGGTCATTAGTTGACCTACATTTTGGCTTCTTCATTTGCCAAGCACCATTTTACACTGAAGTCAAATAGAGAAATATTCTAAAAGGTGAATTCAGTGTCAGCTGGAGAAGCAAAAAAATTCCCGGCTTTATTAGTCATTCACAATTTGAGATCCTGAACTGACACCTGACTAGTGGATGTTAATAATACGGCAAATTTTGAAAATTTTAGGTAATGTCCCACTGTGAATGCACAAAGGTAAGATCCACCTGATCTGAAACCATTACTGAATACTTAATTGCAGCCGTTGATGAAGGCAGATTGATAGCAACTTACAGCACCTACCTATCATCGTTTTGTTTCCATCTAATTTTTGAAATTGAAAGTGAACTGCCAGGGACTATCAACACGTTCACTCTTGTAAAAAGGCCACAATTTCCAATCCTAATTAAGTAGACAAAAGTGATTGAAACTGAGATTTAATCATTCTTGTCCTGTATCACTTCAAGTGTTTTATACCTCTTCGATAGAAATTCTTCAAGTTCTAAGTGAATTTTTGAAGTTCCAATGGATTAGAATAAGCAGCACCTTCATTAGACGTCCTTGTCACTACCATTACGATTTGAGCTAGTTGGTGAAAAGAGGTACTTGGAAGTTAGTTGAATAGACACTCTGATGTTATGTACATCCATTCATTCTCATATGCTATCATTGCACTTCAAATAGTCTCAAAACTGTGAAAGCATTACTGCACTCGCTTATCTGAATGATATACTGTAATGAACATTGTGGAATATGAAGCATTTGCCCATCGAATACATTCAGAACTGGTAAAATTGAAGTAATTGACATAGTGAGGTTTCCAAATTTCCTAGCGTTTTCCAATTTTACCATCTTTGCATCTCAATAAAATATAGCATTCCTTTTAATATTTTCTGATTTTATCAGAATCAATTCTTCCCTAATTAGTCTTTTAATTAATAAGAGAAAGATTTGATCGTTGCTTAACTACATTAAAACAAAGCATCAAGTGCCATACTGAGGGAGTATTCAACTCGAGCATTTCCTATCATGCACAATTTTAATCAATTATTGCGATTACTGTCAGTTGGCAAATGCGATATTAAAACCAGTTGCTATGACAATATATATCCGCTAGATTTGAGACGTTTTTTAATGGTATATTCTTGTCGGTCTTAGGAATATTCAATTTGTGAACTTATCAAGTAGTTATAACCTTAATTTTTTGAAACTGTGCAGTCCTTGAGGTCAAATGGGGACTTTAAGTATGTTGGCAATTAATGCAATAGGAATAAAAGTGGGGTAATAAGACTTCAGATGATGGTGGAGGAAATGGCTTAGTAGTTTTTTCCCCATTTAAAAGTGCAAACTCTACGGCCAGCATCTTTTCTCGACAGTGAATAATTGGGGTGGCACATCATCTTAACTGGGGGGTGAGTCACCGGTCCTCGTCAGTCAAAAGTAAGTGCCAATATTTTGGGGGGTGGCTGTAATTGGTTTAGCGTAGGCCAGCATTAGTGAATTACTATCAGGCATTCTGCAGACTAAAAGGCCTTGAGTCCTTCAAGAAGAGAAATCGTGGTGGCTTCTAACTGAAAAGAGTAGTGTACAGCTATTTGTGACAAATTAAATTGAACTTTTGAAGTCATGTGAAAGAAATGAAGTGAGAGAAAGTTTAGACGATTAGGTGGTTGTTCTTCTGGAACTTTCAAACTGAACTGAGTCACATGAATGTTGACCAGATGATGTGTTTTTAATTTGTCTGACCTTCTACTAATTACTCTTGGTCAAGTACTCTCCTTGGCTACCTTTCACGCTTTTAAACAATTCGTCAGTAAAATTCTGTTAGCCAAGAAATATTCTGGGTGGAAAACGTGAACTTGATTGCTCTTCGGATCAATAGACACACACTCTCTCTCTTTAGTCTTTGACACTGAAATTGCATATTATCAGAAAACGAAGTAATACTTGATTAACTCTGTAACTGCTTAGACATGTGACTATGAGCAGTTTCATGTTCAAGTTCCCATAAACCAATCACTCTGAACTGTCAAGTGTTATTGATAAAAGTAGTCAGTTATTTGTAATAGTGCATAAAGAAAGAGTGAACTGAGATTGACATTATGATATTGTATGCTATTTTTATAATATTACTTTTAACAATAAAGTAGTATTAATTTGTCTGTTATAGAAGGCAACATATACAGTAGAAAATGAAATCGACATGGTTGATTTAATGGAAGCTCTTGTGCGAATGTACGTGGAAGACAAGGAAAACGAGCTAATCTTCAATGATGAGGAAATTTCAATGGAATTACCTCAGAACGAGGTTGTTCTAAACACTTCCCGACGAATTGAGCTGGCTGAATTTCAGCGTCCAAGAATATTCTTAGCTTTTTTTGTTGATGTGTATCGAGTTTTGTTAGATACTACTAGTTCTTGCAAAGATAGTGGTAGGTTGATTCAAACCGTCTTGTTAAATATTCTCATTACCATCTAAGTTATCCCAAATCATTTTTAAAGTTAGTAACTGAGTACTCGTTATTAAAGTACCAATTTCCATCCAGCTAAGCGCTAATAATCAGAATCTTTGGAAAAATTTCAGTCTTCACCGTTTGAGTGTTTTAAGGTTCGAATCTCGATTAATTATAATGAGAAATTAGGTGAGTTTTGAACATGAAGTGGCTTGCCGGACAGATTACTGGGTCACCACAATTAAAAATGAAGTTCTAAATTTACCACTCAGGAAAGATTTAAGTAAAAACTAATCAAGGTTCCATGTTATTTATTTTGAATTACACTTTCGAACTTCTAAGCATGTGATTTTGTAAAACATTTCCATTTCAGCTCAATTCAAAATATATCCTGAACGATGTGCCGATTTCTTCACAAGCTATGACCATCTATTGGCCACTTATACCGAACTCGTTTGCAAATACTTG